TTAGGATAGCAGTAATGCCATTGTAAAATAATAATAATAATAATAAAGAAAAGCATGAAGAGAAAAATAAGTTAACCACAATTTCACAACCACCACCATGTTGGCACATTTCCTTCCAGGCTTTTCTCTATGCAATATATGTGCACCCCCTACACACACACACTTTGACCTGAAGTGCCTCTAAATTTTGATTCCAACTTTCTTCCCCCAAATAATTCATAATATGAAATAATCCTCATGATATAAGAAGTTGTGTAAATGCTTCTGTTGCCTGTATGATCAATCGAATGGGTGTTATATGACATTTAGCTCTTTAGGTATTAGGGTGCATAGGGTGTTTCTAATCTATGGTTACTATAAAAAACTTCACAGTGAAGGTCTTTGTTCAACCCGGCCTGAGCGCCCCCCTCCTGACCCACACCCGGCCTCCCATTAAAGCCATCCTGATCCCATTCTGACCTTCAGTCTTCCTCCCATTTCAGACACGGAGTCCTTCTGAGGCTGGACAGTGTCTAGTACAGGGCCATGAGGGTAGACAAAGTGTAAGGGCATTGGAACTATAGGCTTTACAAATAGAATTTGGAAAGCTGGGGTGTCACATTGTTTGGGCAACAGAGTGGTGGGTTTTTCATTCCTATTTTGATGAAGACTGTGGAACTCTGCAGTATCACAGAGCAAAAATTTCACAACTGTGATGTTTTTCCCCCAGTGGGAAGCTGGGACTCAGGGATGGGAGAAGGTACATACATACACCCCTCCCTATGGACCCCTACTCATGCCTCTCATTTAAAAATGTTTATCTTAACATGACTATGGTGATTAAGGAAAACCAAAGCAAATGATTTTAAAACTGTATACATTTCCTGGTAAAGCACAAACACTTGTGAAAAAAACTCCATGATTTAAAAATATTGAGATGTAAGCCACATAAATCAAAGCTTTCTAGGGTCCTCTAATTTTGTCAGTAATTTGTTTCAGATTGTAAAGAAGTCTTGAGTTCAGAAAGTTAGAGAACTGCCTTAACATGTGGAAAATCATACAGGTATGAAATCCTCTGGTTGTAAAAAACTGATGAAGTCTTTAGGGACTGCCCCTCCCTTATCCAACATGTGAGAGTTCATGCAGGTTAAAGAACAAAATGAATGTGAAGAAAGTGGGGAAATCTTTAGCTATAATGTATCTTGTAGTCAACGTCAAGGACTTCATAAAACTCCGCAAATGTGGTCATTATAGGAAAATCTTCACTTATAGCTTGCCTTTGATTAAACAAGAAAGCTCGCACTGAGATTTCTATGAAGAAACCCTGTAAATGCAGACAGTGGGGGAAAGCTGCAGGTCATCCCTCTCTTACCATGAGAGGGCATTTTCTTCTTTTTTTTTTTTTTTTTAAAGATTTTATTTATTTGACAGAGAGAGATACAGCGAGAGAGGGAACACAAGCAGCGGGAGTGGGAGAGGGAGAAGCAAGCTCCGCGTTGAGCAGGGAGCCCAACGCGGGGCTCGATCCCAGCACCCTGGGATCATGACCCGAGCCGAAGGCAGACGCTTAACGACTGAGTCACCCAGGTGCCCCGAGAGAGCATTTTCTAAAGAGAAAATCTACCACCAGCATTTCTCACAGAGCTGGAGCAATTCTAAAATTTGTAAGGAACCAGAAAATACCTTGAAGAACCAAAGGAATGCTGAAAAGAAAACCAAAGCTGGAGGCTTCACAATTCCGGACTTCAAGCTCTGTTACAAAGCTGTCATCATCAAGACAGTATGGTACTGGCACAGAAACAGACACATAGATCGGTGCAAACAGAAGAGAGAGCCCAGAAATGGACCCTCAACTCTATGGTCAACTAATCTTCGACAAAGCAGGACAGAATGTCCAATGGAAAAAAGACAGTCTCTTCAACAAATGGTGTTGGGAAAATTGGACAGCCACATGCAGAAGAATGAAACTGGACCACTTTCTTACACCATACACAAAAATAAATTCAAAGTGGATGAAAGATCTAAATGTTGAGACAGAAATCCATCAAAATCCTAGAGGAGAACACAGGCAGCACCCTCTCTGACCTCAGCCACAGCTACTTACTAGACTCGTCTCCAAAGGCAAGGGAAACAAAAGCAAAAATGAACTATTGGTACTTCATCAGGATAAAAAGCTTTTGCACAGCAAAGGAAACAATCAACAGAAGTAAAAGGCAACCTACAGAATGGGAGAAGATACTCACAAATGACCGATCAGATAGAGGGCTTGTATCCAAAATCTATAAAGAATTTATCAAACTCAACACCCAAAAAACAAAAAGTCCAGTCAAGAAATGGGCAGAAGACATGAACAGACACTTCTCCAAAGACGACATACAAATGGCCAACACATGAAAAAATGTTCAACATCACTTGGCATCAGATCAAAACCACAATGAGATACCACCTCTCACCAGTTAGAATGGCTAAAATTAACAAGTCAGGAAATGACAGATGTTGGTGAGGATGTGGAGAAAGGGGAACCCTCCTACATTGTTGGTGGGAATGCAGGCTGGTGCAGCCACTCTGGAAAACAGTATGGAGGTTCCTCAAAAGGTTACAAATAGAACTACCCTAGGCCCAGCAATTGCACTACTAGGTATTTATCCAGAGGACACAAAAATGCTAATTCAAAGGGGCACATGCATTCCAATGTTTATGGCAACATTAACAATAGCCTACATATATATATAGGCTAACAATGTGTATATATATCGTGTGTGTACACACACACACACACACACACACAGAGGAATATTACTCAGCCATCAAAAAGAATGAAATCTTGCCGTTTGCAAAGACGTAGATAGAACTAGAGGGTATTATAAGCGAAATAAGTCAGAGAAAGACAAATACCAGGGAAATGATTTCACTCATGTGGAATTTAAGAAACAAAACAGATGAATATAGGGGAAGGGAAAGAAAAATGAAATAAAAACAGGGAGGCAAACCCTAAGAGACTCTTAACTCTAGGAAACAAATTGATGGTTGCTGAAGGGGAGGTGGGTGGGGGATGGGGTAACTGGGTGATGGGTATTAAGGAGGGCACGTAATGTGATGAGCACTGGGTGTTATATGCAAGTGATGAATACATTATATGTTAACTAAATTGAATTTAAATTTTAAAAAAATCGAGAAAATCTGTAAATGCAGAAAAACTTTCAGCATCAAAAAACTCATACTGGAGCCTGGTGATGGGTATTAAAAGAGGGCACGTTCTGCATGGAGCACTGGGTGTTATACGCAAACAACAAATCATGGAACACTACATCAAAAACTAATGATGTAATGTATGGTGATTAACATAATAATTATTTTAAAAAACCATACTGGAAGGGCGCCTGGGTGGCTCAGTTGTTAAGCATCTGCTTTCGGCTCAGGTCATGATCCCTGGGTCCTGGGATCGAGCCCCACATCGGACTCCCTGCTCTGCGGGAAGCCTGCTCCGCCCTCTCCCACTCCCCCTGCTTGTGTTCCCTGTCTGTCTGTCAAAAAAATAAAAATCTTAAAAAAAAAAACTCATACTGGAGAGAAACCCTATTTTTTTTTTTAAGATTTTATTTATTTGCGAGAGAGAGAATGAGAGACAGAGAGCATGAGAGGGAGGAGGGTCAGAGGGAGAAGCAGACTCCCCGCTGAGCAGGGAGCCCGACATGGGACTCGATCCCAGGACTCCAGGATCATGACCTGAGCCGAAGGCAGTCGCTTAACCAACTGAGCCACCCAGGTGCCCAACCCTATTTCTACAAAGTAATCCATGCAGAAAAAACTTCAGAGACTCCATCTTATTGCATAACATATAACTCACACAAAAGAATTTCTCTTCATAAGAACTGGGATTAACTTAACAAGGAATCACCAAATGGAGAAGTTGCTTCTGAATGAATCCCACGAAGTCACCACTATTCAAAAGTATCAGTAAATAAGGATGCTAATGGGGAAAGATTTGAAAAAGCCTGAGCTAGAAAAATGCATGTAATATTAGACACACATATGCCGCCTTGTGGTTGTAATTTTGTTAACATTTTAATCAGAAAAGTTATTGAATGCCCACTCAGAGGACCATGGACCATTACTAAGGCACTGGGGCTAGAGGGGATTTCCAAACAGATGTGCCCCTGGAGTCTACATACTTGCAAGACAGATTAGAATCAGAGATAAGTTTGGTTTTGTTTTTTGGGGAGAGGGTCAGATTGATGACAACACATTACTTAAATCAGGCTATATATAACATATAAAACATAGCATGTTTTTCTATCTTTCCATGACAATACAGACCTGCCTCATCCTAAAATTACAGGTGTTACTGTGGTAGAAATATTAAGCTACCAAAGTTTAAAATAATCTGAGCAAGGTTAGTGAGAGAGAAATGAGGCACAATTATATCTAAGTTGATGCACAACACAAGAAGCTGCTAGATGCCTTTTGTTACAGTTGCCAGGATTCCATACAGTGACCTGCTTTTATAAAAGTGTTCTTAGTACAAAAGTACATATACCTGGTTTTGTCATAAACAAACATCAAGTGGTCTTGAAAGCAGGGATAGGTTGTTTCTGAGATATCATGGCAGGATACAATTCTTCCACAATTAAAGGATTAAATGTAGGCATAAAACCTAGATTTATGGCTGCCACATTGCTTTGAATTACTCCCACGAATTTTATGTTCTCTAATTCATGCTATGTGACCATTTTAAGTGTAGAAAACCATCTTAATCAGCACTGATTTTTAAATGCTGACAGCAGAGAATCTGTGTAGTCAAAATCAAAATAGAAAGGAGGCATCAGGAAGGGTTAGAGAAAGGGAGAACAGAATGCTGTCGGAAATAAAGTAGATTAAGAACAGAATTTTTAAAGTAAAAAATTCCCCTTCAAGTGGATTGGCTAGGCCAAGAAAATTCCCCGAACTCCTTTTTCAAAACAAGTATTTCAGGAATGTCAATTCAAGTTTGACTTTATTTATAGAGATTTTTTTAAAAAACAAAATAGTAGAGTTTTAATATCAGAAACTTTTTACATCTTTATTCTTCAAATTCGATGTCAAGTTACAAATAAATAGTCCATACCATGTGGCTATGTTGCTTCTTTATGATGTACACTTCAGGCAGAAAACAGCAATAACCAAGAATACATCAAAAATGAACTCGCAGTGAATAACCAATTGTTAAGTGTAGAGAAAAGACGCATTACATTTCAGTGTGGTCCAGTATGTACACTGTTTTAAGTGGATCCCCTTTAAAACATCACAGATGCATGTAATTCTCTTACAAAATAAAGAACTCACACATCAGGATTTCAAGTTTTAAAGTATCACAGGGAATAATTGCTTTAAAAACTGTAAATAATCTTGTGTATTTTAGCAGCAAAAAAAAATATTCCAGGGTAATCTTTAAATATTGCTGAAAAAATTGCAAGCTTTAGAGAACACCATGGGTATCAGATTCATTACTTAAAAAACAAAGTAGTACTTATAAAGAAGAGACCACTTTAGGTTTTGTTCTGCTGTTGGTAAAATAAAGTTGAAGCTAAAAAATCCCAGCCCAGGGTGGGGGGAAGCCTGCCAGAGAGAAGAGCGGAGGTAGCCGCCAGTCAGGCTCTAGACTTACTGTCACGGGAAAAGGCCGAGAAGTCTTATGTAACTTATTTCCACAGAACAAGTTCTTAGGAATTCTTTTGAGGATCTATAGTCTATTTTCAGATGTATTAGATTTAGCAACTGACCGACATTCTTCTAAGTTTTCCTCCCCAAGCGTCTTCTGGCTAAACCAGTATTTTAATAAAATCATCGTTGTTGGGTGGTGTTTTGGTTTTGGTTGTTAAACCAACTGTTTCTTTTGAAAGATTAATAGGAAAAGATACCATTTTTCAAGTCATTAAAGATGGCCTGGGTCAGAGAGTAATTTGTTTGAAAGGGGATGATACTTTATGTAATAGTTTCATACTCTGCATGACATCTGACACGTGGCATCTAAGATTTTAAGACTGAAAGGAATTCTAAAAAATGAGAAAAATGGAATTAGACGCAAATTACATCAGCCTTATTGGATGCTTCTGAAAAGAAACAACTTGTATCCACAATCAGTGGTAAACTGTCACTGTTTCAAGTCACCATTATATTGTTCTCTCTCCTTTGAACACTAAACCTTCTTTTTCTAAATATAACTTCTCAAAAATCATTTGGAAGCAAACGATTATTCTAAAGAGAAAGCATCAGAAACAAATTCTCCACCCACCCTGACTTAATCTTTACATCACAACATCCTGACAGAGAAGCGGTTTACTTTCTTTGTTTTACTTCTTGGCAGTTTTCCCAAACTTTATGAAAATTTAAACTATGACAAGGAGAAACACATTAAAAACATAATGCAAATATACAGAAATACAAGAAATACTCAAAACCGAACACCATATTGTGGTATCTCCAAATATGGTCTGTGCACAAATGACCAAAAGCTACAGGGCCCTGGGTCTCAGCACTCCCACTATCCTGCACAGATCTACATTCTTAACTTTGTTTTTGCCTTTTGATGCCTAAACCAACTAAGAATCAAGAAAATAACTGACAGGACATTAAGAAAACATGGTATCTACGATTTTTTTAAAGTCTTGATTTGAACACATCTTCACTGGAGTGCAATATTACTCTTGATAATGCTCAAATAACAAGACAAGCAACACGTATGAAAAGACTTACTATGTACCATACAAGCAGTGTGTTTAGAATCATAAATAACTTCCACAGTAACATAAAAACCTACAAATTAAATCTTAACTACTTCAGTATAAAGTTAAATTCTCATTATCTTAGTAAGAATGCCAGTATCAGAAGCATTCTCCATGTTTCTGTATTCTAGCGTAGAAAGGTTCTGTTTAGAAAGGATAAGGTGCTTTTTTAAATAAGTTGCCAACACACACACACACACACACACAACCAGTGCGAACTATCAAGAGAAAAAATCCTCATTTTGAAATGCGATAGATTACACATCTAGACTAAAAGCATCGGAGTGGATAGAATATCTTTCCATGACTGAGGTGCTGTAAATATAAACATTAATAAAGAACAGCTTTCTATCCTTTGCTTCTTAAATCCCACCCTAACTTTTAGAACTGCTTCCAACTTTAAAAAAAAGTTTGGACATTTTCATAGTTCAAAGCTAACGAGAAGACCCTGAATACCCTGAGGGTAAGCTACTGGAGACTACCCACTGGTGCTACATTTGCTGTGTTTTCTTGTTTACTATTGAACATAACCCTCTAGTGCTATCTTGTTTCATGCAGCACCAACCAAACTTCCATTTTTTCCCTAATAAAAAATAAATATATATAGAAGACGCTGTCAGGCATATATTCACAAGGTCTCAATTTCTTAAAACATAAGTACGGGTATATTTATTTCTCTCAAATGCATACAAGACAATAATTACACAGCAACAAATCTTTTGTTCAACAATGATTTGATTCATAAGCGTTTGAATTTACATAATTTCACATCCATACCCTTGCATTTTTAAATACTGTAAGTACAAAAGCCCCCCAAATAACCAATTCTTATATTTCCTATTTATCCCTCTATACATCCGAACTTTAAAAAGTTACAAACTGAACATTATACAGAACATATAAATCATGTTTAAAAACTTGAGGTTTTAAAATCACTGTTCCCCAAAATGATTCAGAAAGTCCTCATGCTGACAAGTGCAGTCCTAGGTGGTAAGGTAAGTTGGAAAGGGGGAGAGAAAGAAGAGACAGACACCAGTTTGCTGTCTTAATGTTTTACTAATCCTGTCAGTAAAAACGGCGACGTCATGAGAAGTAACAGTTTAGGTTTACTATGAGGAACGGGGTTTGCCTCACAGTTGGAGACATGCACTTCAAGTATTTTCCTATTTGATCTGAGCTCCCTGTAGCAAACGATGCTGAAAGAGAAGAACTATTTTCTTCCATACATTCGCTCAATGTCCGCCTGGTAATGTGTTTTAAGCTCTTTACGTTTCAGCTTGAAGGCATCTGTCACCAAACCAGTTTCAGGGGTCCACGGTTCTGGGCTCAAACGAATTTTTACTGGAATTTCGAATTTTTCTAGACTCGCTGAGACAGGGGAAGGAAAAAAAATGTAAATGCAGAGGCATGAAAAATGTACAATTAAAATTCTTAGCAAATAGTAAACTTTTCTAGTCTTAGAGCACCCATCAAAATGCACAAACATCCCATGAATCTCACTTCTAAATAATCCATCCCTCAAAAATGCTACAAGTAAAAATATATAGAGATATGTATGAGAATTGTAATAGCAAAAAAACGGTTTTAAAAAATCTACATGGCCATCAATAGAATGGGTTAGATTCAGTTATGATGTAGGCATAAAATGGAATATAATTCAGTCATTAAAAATAAGATCTATGGGGCGCCTGGGTGGCTCAGACGGTTAAGTGTCTGCCTTCGGCTCAGGTCACGGTCCCGGGGTCCTGGGATCGAGTCCCACTTCAGGCTCCCTGCTTATCTCCCTCCGCCTGCTGCTTCCCCTGCTTGTGCTCTGTCAAAAATAAATAAAATCTTTGGGGGGAAAAAAAAAAAATAAGATCTACATGGTACGGTGTGTGAAGATATTTGCAATATATATTATTAGGCTTTTAAAAAAAAAAAAGGGTTTTTTTAAATACCAGATAAATTATACGCATCTAGATGTGTAGGACAAGTATACACCAAACTATAAGCTGTTTACCTCTAGGAGCTAAGATCCACGATTAAGGAAAAGCAAATGCCACACACCTATTTGTTTTCAGTTTATTTTAAGGAGATTACTTTAGAAACTAAAAAATAATAAAGTTTAAAAAGAATCTTGTCATTGAACCAGAATATTCAGCATAAGCTTTGAGGACAGAATGTCGGCTCACTATCGTGTTCCTATACACTGCTGGGTACCAGCAGATTCTCAATAGCAGAGGGTTGGAGACGGGGAGAGGGATGGAGACAGGGAGAAAAGGGAGAGGTTTTTCCAGCATTCATTCAACAAATATTTATTGAAAAAAATTACTGTGTGAAGTGCTGTACTAAACATTCTTAAACACTCTTTAAAAAACACAAGAATAGTTTCTGTTCTCAAGTGGAATAAAATCTAACAATGACAAACAGGTAACCATGTAGCCATGATCACACACACACGCACACGCACACGCACACTTGCTCACTCAACTGAAGGTGTCAGTACCTTGGGAGCAAAAGGGGTATATTAACTCTAACTTATAAACATAGCCACAACAAGGTTTTCTCTCCAAAGACTGAAGCTATTTCAGGAGTGCTCCCCTAGAGGGAAAACCACTGTGAGCAAAAGCAGCAAGGCCTGGACCTCAGGACTTATGGAATAGTTCCTTTCTGTTCTGTTGTGTTTATATGTTAGAGCAAGTATTTTTTTCTTCCCTTTTATTCTCTTATCTATAATAATAGGTATTAATAAGCTAACTGCATACAGAATAAGAGCCAAAATCGCTCAAGAGCTCTGCATCCTCTTCTGCAAAAAAGGTCACTGCATTTTCAGCTGTGTGCTAGGCAGCTTTACTGCATTAGGCAGGAGCCTTTGTTACTGTCCTTACTTAAAAATCAACTATGTTCTCAGGAGATGTACATGGGTGCCAAGCGGACAAGCGATGATGGACTGGGAAGTCAGTTTTGTGTATCAGCTGGGCTAGGCTGGAGTTCCCAGGTACTCAAACACTAATGCAGGTGTTGCTCTGAGGATATTTTGTAGACAGAGGATTATGTCTATAACCAGTTTACTTTATGTGAGGAAAACTGGCCTAGATCATCTTAGTGGGCCTGGTTTGGCCAACTGAAAGGCTGTAGGAGCAGAGCTGAGGTGCCCCCAAACAAAAAGCAATTCTGCCTGTGGTCGGCTGCTGCCAGCAGGCTGCCCTCCCGATTTCCAGCTTTGCCTAAGGCAGCCCCCAAAATCACATAAACCAATTCTTCACACTGAGTCTCTCTATATACTACTAATTCTGTTTCTCAGGTGTAAACCTAATACAGATTTTGCCTAAGAATGAAGTTGGATCCCTTCTTCACATCATATGAAAATGAACTCAAATGGACCAAGGAGCTTTTAAATATAACAGCTGAAACTGTAAAATTCTTAGAATAAAAAATAGGGTGTATCTTTGTGATAGATTAGGAATGGTTTCTCAGATAGGATACCAAAAGCACAAGCAACAAAAGAAAAAAAAAACCTACCTTTTGTAATTCAAAGGATACCATCAAAAAAGTAAAAACACAACCCACAGAATGGGAGAAAATATTTACAAATTGCCTATCTGGTAAGAGCCTTGTGTCTAGAATATATAAAGAACTTGCACAATTCATTAATAAAAAGGCAACCCCATTTAAAAAATGGGCAAAGGGGCACCTGGGTGGCTCAGTCATTAAGCATCTGCCTTCGGCTCAGGTCATGGGATCGAGCCCCACATCGGGCTCTCTGCTCGGCGGGAAGCCTGCTTCTCCCTCTCCCACTCCCCCTGCTTGTGTTCCCTCTCTCGCTCTGTCTCTGTCAAATAAATCTTTTAAAAAATAAATAAATAAAAATTAAAAAATGGGCAAAGGATCTGAATAGACATTTCTCTAGAGAAGACATACAATGGCTAATAAATACAAGAAAGGATGCCAAGCATCATTAGCCACCAGAAAAATGTAAATCAAAACGAGATACTCTACTTCATACCCATTAGGATGAGTAGAATCCAAAGGATGAACAGTAACAAGTATTTCGAGGACGTGGGGAAACTGGAAACCAACACTGGTGGGGATGATAAAATGATGCTACCATTTTAGAAAATAGTTTGGAAAATTTGGGGAAAAATATTCTGGAAAATAATCTGGTACTTTTGTCTCAAAAGATTTAACATAAAGTTGACACAGGCCTAGCAGTTCCACTCTGAAGTACCTACCCGGGAGAAATGAGTACGTCCACACAAACCCTTGCACGTGAGTGCAACCAAAAGCAGAGCAACCCACTGCAGCCCCCCCAACACACACGCAAAAAGGTGGATAGGACATATCCGGTGTAGAAAATGCAGAGAAGAGTCTTGGACAGTTCTGGGTGGGCCGGGGTGGCCAGGACCCAGCTGAGTAAAGAGAGAAAGGGCGACCCGGAAGACAGAAGCTGCAGGGACAAGGACATTCTGACCGGTGCCCGCCGCCACGGGAGCCCGTGACGGGCGAGTCCTGGGGAGGAGCCTGGATGCGGGCCTGAGAAGCGTGTTCTTCTATCCAACGGCAGGAGACACAGTTGGTTTCCGAGCAGGAAATGATGTCCCCTAAGCCTTGTGACAGCAGAGCAAGTAAACGTGAGCCTCGGTCCTCAGTCTGCTTCACAGCCACTCACCTGAAATAGCAGCTTCAGAGAGCACTTTGAGGACCTCGTTTTCCATTTCACAGCTGTTACACAGCTCCTCCCAAGTCCCATGAAGTCCTTTCTTTCGAGCGAGTTCTGTTAGTTCCTTTTGATTTGGCACAACAAACCCAATGACGTAAGAATGATAACTGAAATACATAAAGGACAAGCGGGCTAAGGGTCTAAATGGCACAGCGTGGGAGTGGGTGTCGGCGATACGCTGACGCCGTCAATTCATGACCACTTGAAAGAACATCCGTGACGCGCATCTGGTACAGAGCACTTACCTCACGGAACAGCCACTTCTACCGTATGATTCATAGTATGTTCAACGCTCAACAGAGTCCACTGCTAAATAAACCTTCATCTGATATTTAATGGCAAATTTCAACTAGGTGTTAACTGTTACAAATACTTCCATGTATACATTTTTTAAAAGAAAATTACAAATATCAGAAAATTCAACTTCGGAAAAAAATCAGTAATTCACATTAACAGGTTAAGACAAAAATAAAAATTCATGTAAATAGAAATTGTATCTGGGTGGCTCAGTCGGTGAAGCATCTGACTCTTGATTTCCGCTCAGGTGATGATCTCAGCGTTGTGAGATCGAACCCCGTGTCAGGCTCCACACTCAGTGCTGAGTCTCCCTGGGATTCTCGCTCTCCCTCTGCTCCCCCTGCCCTTGCTCATGCACTCTGTTGCTCTCGAATGAATAAATAAAACCTTTTAAAAATATATTTGAAAATTTAAAAAAAAAGAAATTGTATCTAAAGAAAATTGGCAGCAAATCAAAGTAATGTGGTTGCATTTATTTTCTTCTTTTGTTATCACGAGAACTGCGAATGAAAGAGCTTTAGGTACGCCTGCCAATGGCAGTAAGAAATAGCCAACAGCATCAGGAAGAGAAGGGCAGTCTGGTTAATATCACACAAGTAAAAGCCAGAATTGTAGCAGCACTAAAGAAAATATCTCATAGCTAATTAAAGGGCTGAATGATTTATGGTTCAATGTAGTAAATCTTTAAAGTCTGTTTCTAAATTGGTTCTTCTGATACCAGATTTTAAATTTCACAATAACTATTTTATGTCAACTGCTGCAGTAAGGTTCCTAGGCTGGCCACCAAGTATCTGATCGTTAACACTGGAGAATAATTAATACATATAAAACTCTTAGGGGAAAATGTCATCAGAGTGCCGATCTAAATTTCCAACACATTTCCCAGGACTACATTTCTGGGATTTTTAACTTTAAACTCTCCTTCCCTCCTTTCCCAGCTGCCTCTATATCATTATGGACTAGAGATACTAGGAGTTCAGCCACAGCTTAACATAGCTTAAGGCAGAGCTCCCAGCCCTGGCCAGGGTCTGAAGTAGGTTCGAGTCTAGAGCGGGGTAGCTAAGTGCTGAGCAGGGTTCAGCTTGATGACTCCCATCCTCAACTTCCTTCTTTACTCCCCTTTGCTCTGGACTGGTTCTGGGATGCTTCCCTGTGCAGCGGGGTGGGTCACTGGGGGTACCGAGGCAGCAGGAGGGAGGACTTGACTTTCTTCCCCTCCCTACCACACAGGACACCGCAGTGAGATGTAAAGCAGAAAACAGGGACACAGAGGAGGACGAGGAGGGGAGGCATCACAAGGACAGAATCAGTTACTGGTTTTTCCTGAGAAGAGGACTCTCCCAGAGACAACGGATAAGAAGGAAGAAGAGTTCTTAGTATAGTTTTACAAAGAAGATTCATCTAGGAAGGAAATGCCAAAACCACACAAAATGTTTGTTTGAAGTAAAAGTAACAGAATTCTACTTTCTTACCTGTTTGCATATGCGCAAATGTTATCTATAAGGGAGAGGTTCTTCAGAGCTGCCTCTACTTTCCCAAGAGAAACATATTCTCCCGCCTGCAGTTTCACAAGGTCCTTCTTACGATCTGTGCAGAACAAAGGCCGGGAGGGGCCACATGGGAGCATAGAAATACCTTGAATACACATGAATATTGCCCATTCCCTAAGTAATTTGCTATCAGTTAAGTCTATTATTAACAGTTACACCAAAACTAAAAGTACACAGTATATTAGGCCCTAATTTTTGTACCATTAAATAAATTCTTTCAAAAAAAGAAAATCAGCTTCTGGTCAAGAGCCCCCACCATCAGGGCTTCGGTCATGTTCCGCTGAACAAGTGTGTTCCTGCAACCCATTAACACCAGGAAGCTGAGGAGTTCTCAGGGACACGTGAAAGCTCACATTCTATCTGGAGAGAAGCACATCCCCTCCATACAGAACAGTAAGGGTAAAGGTCAAGCCTGCCCAACCTGCTGATCTGGAAAGAATTCCTGTAAGTGAGGCCTGGGCTGAGTCTTGAGGGAAGACGGGCGCTGACCAAGTGCAGCAGCCGTGGAAAACGACAGACCGGTCCGCCTGAATCACCGCAGCATGGTGCGGGAGGGAACGGCCGGAGGCGGAGAGGTGGGGCTGGGCTACAGGACAGAGGCGCAAGGAACCAAGCCCTTAGCTGCCACTGGAGTTTTCTAGCAGCAAAGGGGCCCAGTGAGATCAGTGCTGAGGACTCACATGGCCTTTGAGTGTGTGTGTTTAAGGGGGGACAAGTATATCCCAGGGAGGAATTTCTTGCAATAGGGTGACGGAAGGTGCAGGCCTGACCTATGGTCATGGTGGGGCAGAGAGAAAGAAGAGAGTATCTTGAGGCATGTTTCACATGATAAATCAGTAGAAAATGGGTAAGACATGGGGAGTGCACTAAACAATCTCATCTCCCCCAGGTTTCTAGGTAGCATGACTAGGACAGAAATTCTATTAACCGAGAAAAAAAATGTAAGAAGGAAGGCAGGGAGCTATTTTTTGCCCCCCTGGGTCCTAGTACTCCAACTGCCAGGCTTCCTTATTCTCACAGGCAAGGCCAGGACATGGTTCCAACAGGAGAGAGCCTGTCCAATAACCTCTAGATAGCAAAGAGCACACAAAAATAAATATTCCCTACTGAGAACTGGATTCTTTCAGGGTTATCTAATAATTAAAAATACCACTCCTGTTGAACAGATTTTGAGATCTCCTAAAATGTCAGGCCTTAAAACTTCTTCACAGTTTATTATAAAATTTTATATTCCAGGGATGATACAACAGACCCTATCAACACTGCAGAGAGATACATTCTTATATTATTAAACAGTTTCCCTAAATATACAGTTATCTCTTTTGTAAAACTATTTCAGAAACATCCACTGTCAGAAAACATATGTATATGTATTAGTTGGCTCACCGATAATCTTTAAACAACCATCGGGGTCAAACTCCCCAATATCTCCAGTACAGAGCCACCTCTGTCCATTTTCATCTTCAAAGAAATCAGCTGTCGTTTTTGCTTCATTTTTGTAGTATCCTATTGTCACATTTTGGCCACCAATAAGAACTTCACCCCTCGGGTGTGGTTTATCGGTATTAAAGTATCCACCTAATAAACACAAAATAATTAACAGTTAATTCAAAATTTTTATCCCTATATACAGTTGTGTGAAAATGTGAAACTATTGGTTTCTAAATAGGGACATCTGAATTTAATCCAATTAGTTTCCCAAAGGAAATGAGGCAGACAGTATGAATGAACAAAAACTCATTAATGTAAAACTAGGTGCAAAATATCAGTTGCTTACCCATAAGCACTGATGCTTTTAAACTACTACTCCAAGCAAAAATTACACTTAAAAATCCAACATCTGTGGTATAAAATAATCATGTGTACTACATAGGTAAACTCCTTTAAGGAATCTGTAGAGATTCCTATATATCTGATAAAAGTATTAAATCACGTAATTCAATAAAACACATCTCCAAAATCAAATTACACAATGTTTACAAGATTTATGACTGGCAGATAAGTTCAGAATGACTCCAAGTTTAAATTTGTGAAACATTTTCACTAATTATGCTAAAAGGTAAATGAAAAATGGCAGCGAACCCTCAGAATCTTTACTCTGTATAAAAGAAGAATTTAGCCAACCAATCACTGATAATGTATATGCAGAAAGAATCAAATAAAATTTTTAGAAAGTGATTAGTATTTAAATGGCACAACAGATTTGTATGAAATTATAGTAAAAATTTCCTTCTGATGATTCTAGATTGAAGCCATCAGGGAAAAGAAAGAAAAAAAGAAAAATCCTCAGTTTCATATATTATGTTTTATGATTTTGCTGCTACAAAATAAACTTATGATCATTCCTAATTTACTGACATCATTCATTTAGATTTCTCAAGTTTTTGCCGTAATTCTTACTTGCATTCATGTAATAAAATAAGCAAAATAAAAACAATTTTAATTCTTCAGAATCATTCTTGAAATAAGCAAAATAAATGCATTCGTATAGCTCTAGATAAAATAGTTCTATTAGACAAAAAAAGCACTTGTGGGTGATTTTATATTCTAAAGTAAGAAAATGAAGCACAATTCTAATTTTAAGGTTTAATATTATACAAATTAATGGTCTGTGGTTAAAATAGGTTATTACCTTCCTCCCAGTTCTTTAATTTGATTTCACAGCAAACTAATGGTGCTCCCACTCTGCCAGTATTGTAGTCCCATACTAAGATGCAAATGAAAAAAAGTATTTGATTACAGTGGTGAATAAACAGCTTGATTTTTCTAAATTACCAAAAATGATGATTTATCCCAAAGCTTTGACATCCCCAGAGAATCTTTAAAAGCTGGAGTCACAAACTGGTGAACCACAAGCTGTGTGGCCCACACAGAGTTCTGGTTTTTGATTCTGAATTGGTTATTGACACTTAAAAATCAAGACAATTTCCCCAGAAGTGTGGCATCTCCAGGACCAACAGGGCTGGCATTTCCAGCACAGCAACAAGTGTAGGCCCCATTAGATGGGGCGTGCCTGCTCCAGCTCCCCCCGATTCCTGCCTTACACCCACCGCGGATCTTCGTACCTCAAGGCTCACTTCACTCACTGAAGTAGCTGCCTGGCTCATGTGTCTGGAGCCCCTATCCTTTTTATTTTATTTTATTTTATTTTTTTTAAAGATTTTATTTATTTATTTGAGACAGAGAGAATGAGAGAGAGAGAGCACACGAGAGGGAGGAGGGTCAGAGGGAGAAGCAGACTCCCCGCCGAGCAGGGAGCCCGATGCGGGACTCGATCCAGGGACTCCAGGATCATGACCTGAGCCGAAGGCAGTCGCCCAACCAACTGAGCCACCCAGGCGCCCCTGGAGCCCCTATCTTAAAGGATGATGGATCACAATGGCTTCCCCCCATTCCGCTTTCTTATTAGACCGGACGGCTCTGCAGTACAAAGAGCCTCTCCAATCTTCTCCCATCTATCACTATTACAAAGTGAGACCTCTAAAGCCTCCCCGACATCAGCTGGTGCTATCACCCTATTTAAACTCATACACAGGAGTTCAGAAGACCAGGCTGGAGATTAACTTTCGAGGATCTGGGAAAAACACACACCACTATTGTGAATTACTACTGCATTATGTTTCCTCTTCAAAGATCATTCAAGTATCAGAAAAGGCTGATATTTAAAATTCACAGAATGTTTTGTTTACAACATGAGCTGTAACTGATGAATCACATTCAATGCAAATCTTAAAAACAGAAGCTATAAGGATCATCAGAAGAAAGGAAACATAGATGCACATATTGAAGATTGCTTTTTTATTTCCTGCAAAACAAGACTTAGAAGTAGCTTCCAAAATACAGAAAACTGGAAACAGGAAAATACAGAAGAAATGTAAGTTAAACCTGACATAAGAATGGTACACAGCAACACTGAAGGTAAAGAGGGGAAAATGATCAGTTAAGAGGTTTAGTACCTGTCAGTATCTAGAAAATACAAAGTAGCTTCTCCTAGTACTGAGAAGCAAAATAACTTTCCTCCATAAAAGGGACACATGAGGCACTTTGGGATTCATCCAGGAACCACTTGGGTAGTGGATCACCTCCTCAATCATGTCACCATGATAAACACTAGAAGTTACATTCTATAAAACTGAATCTGGTTTCTCTCTCATTACACAGACCACCCCCATAAACCACTTCCGAGTTTGAGCTTTAATACACATACCTAAACAACTGTACAAAACACGTTAATGTTTTTCACAAAAAGACATTTAATAACTGATAAAAGAAAATAAATGTATGTAATACAGCCAATGCTTGTTACTAAAACTTCTTTTCCAGACGCTAAGTAGCTTTTAATATGATGTATCATAATCTAACATGAAAGACTCCTTTAATTGGCTATTAGATGTACCCAATACTTAAAAACTTTATCAATAATCATAGTACTTAGAATTTACCATTATTCTGCTACACAAATACCTTAACCACTTTTATCCTTCGTACTGCAGAAAACAACCCATGACCAAAGAATACAGGGAGTCACACCCCAGGCTCTGTTGGACACACCACCCTGTGGAGAGCACCAACCTTCTGTAATTGTTCCTGCACCACAAGATTCAGTCAGTCCGTATCCCTGACCGACGGGGCAGCAGAAGCAGATGTTCATGAATCGCTGTGTGGTTGCAGAAAGCGGAGCGCCTCCACACAACAGAAGCCGGATACTTCCACCGAGCAAGCCTCGAACTTTTCGGAAAATAAACCTAAAAAAGAGAGAGAGAGAGAGAATCAGAGGATTTGAAGCTGAATGGGATTTTCCAGATCATTCAGACTAATCTCCCAATTCTGATATGTGAGATTTTGAGAGTCACGCTCGCCCAAAGCCACACAACCAGGTCAAGAGATTCTCTCACTTACTATTTAAATCTTAATTTTTTATAGTTCGACCAAGTCAAGAACGTATGATTTTCTCTTAAGAACTTTTCAAGTTAATATCTGAAATCAAAACGGTCAGGTTTAAAATTTTGTACAGTAATGGCAAACCCATGTTTATGGCCACAGAGCAATTAGTTTTATATTATGTAATACACATATTAATACTGAATAATCCCATTGTATCTTTATAAAATTTAGCATTAAAAGCAAATTTTTTTTTTTTTTTGCTTTTGTTTACTTCATTAGAAATATGCACATACTTGGGGCACCTGGGTGGCTCAGTCAGTTAAGCGTCTGAATCTTGGTTTCGGCTCAGGTCATGATCTCAGAGTCATGGGGTCGTGGAATCGGCCCTGCGTCGGGGTCCATGCTCAATGTGGAGTCTGCTTAAGATTCTCATTCTCCCTCCCACTCTACCCCTACCCCTGCATGCACACACACACTCTCTCTCTCTCAAAGTGTTTTTTAAAAAAAGAAATGTGTACATATTTGTACAATCTCTTTTTAAAATAAGGCAGAAAAAATATAGTTTCAAATAATGTGGAGCATCTGGAAACTCTATTAATATTCCCATAAAACAAATTAAATGCCATACATTGTTTTCTAATTTCTAAATTATAATTAAATCTACTTACCCAGCACTACAAAAACAAAAGTATCAGGTCTGTGGTAAAACCTATCATTTAACACTTTAAACACTCATATTTAGTTGCCATTTTATATTCATATTGAAATAAATTTAAAAGCAAAGAAAAATTATTTCTAAAAATAACTAAAATCACATACGTGTCCACAGAAAATGAAAGCAAACTATTAAATACAGTAAAACTGTAAGTGAAATGTTTTTTCAAATAACACTGCAATCTTTTTTAATTGCTCATACTCTTATGCAAGGTGGATTTTTAGAGTCCCTTTGACTTTTTAAAACCAATTCATTTCTTGTAACTATCTCAATTACCTGGGCTAGTGATATGAACAAAATGACTAAGTCACCAAAGAAGAGGGGGGAGTCATCTGACCTGTCACACAGTGGAGTGCCACGGCCTTTGGAAAGCTGTTCCATTTTGTAATTATAGGCCAGAATAAACAGATTGCGTTGGAAACTACTCATTTCGTTCACTTTATTCATAACGTTTTTGTAGATTCGATCCATGATTTCCTAGATATATAAAAATGAGTTAATACCGTCAATAATGCTATCAGCTGCCTTCCATATTATACCTGAACACCAGATAAATATTTCTATCAGTGTTGAGGCATTTTAGAAGATATAGTCTATCAGGAATAAACTTTTAAAATAGAGCCACAGCTAGTTTAAAAATGAGGTTTCTGTAAAAATAATTTTTCGTAACACAAATATACCTAGATGCTCATGAGTGGGGGGAGAAAGAAAGAAAAAAATAAAAGCCTTAGGGCAGTAACAGAATCAGTATTGATTCTTTACATGGCTTGCTTGTCTTACTTATTTTGGAAAAACTAAGCTCACTACATAAATAACAACTGTATGAAATGGTTTTTAAAATTCTCATAACCTTATCTTATAAAAATACAGAGAGTCACATTCTTTGCTCACAAAAGGACCGAAGGGTTATTTTGGTTGGTTGGTTGTCTTTTAATGCTGCACTCAGGAAATTTTCCTTCTCTGCACTACATTTAGCTTGCTAGGACCATTACTATGAAGTATATATACTTCAATGACTTGAAATGGTTTTCCCTTTACAAGTTTAAATTGTATTTCATTTTACATGAACTGAAGATTACATGAACTAAAAAGTAAAATATTACACTACAGAAACTATGCACCTACAGAAACTACAAAGTAACTATGTAACTTTGCTTGGATGGGGTTACTCAGGGATCTGGTAATGATTCCCAACACTTTCAAACAACATCAGAAGCCACATAAAACTCACACTAAGGAGACAGAAAATCGTTACTCTGCCATTTCCACTCAATTCCCAGGCCCCTGCCCATGTCTGGTACATTAAGATACAGAATGTTTCTCAGGTAATTCAAAGGTGCACCACTTTTCTGTCACTTTTTTTGGCGACTAGGCCAGACTGTTCCTGGGGACTCAGGAGGTAATTAATTACGCAATTTGCTCAGAGGAGAAGGAAGTGCTATCAAACCTTCCCCCCATCTCCTGCTGGGCTTCAGGTTTCTACTAATAGCAAACATACCATGAAAAGGATCTGAATAAGAAGCGACTTTAGGGAAAGGATGTGATACTATCACAGGGAAACTGAAACTGAGTATTTAGTAAATTTAAAAAATGAATAAATAAAAAAGTTAAAAAAAGGAAGACTGAATCAGTCCCGCAGAGCATAAGGCAATATAACCAGTAAGGAACAAATCGTACATAAACTACCCTGCCAACAGTTAACTCTTCCACTAGCGTTCAGGCTCTGTGGCCGGTGACCCTTCTCTAGTACGCAACATTAACTAACGGTCGATTCTTACCGGAACAGCTGCCATCAATGTTGGTTTCAACATGGTTGTATCCCCTTTGCTTCCTTTTTTTATTTTTGAAGACTAGAGAGAGAAAAGGTGATCTGTATAAACTGATCCTTATTTTAGAAATCCGGTGAAATTCTTAGACCAAAAAGTGTATTATAAATTCATCATTTTAATTTACTTATTGTAAAAACTTAAAAACTTAAAAGTAATTATTTTTAAATGATTAACTGCCACCTTACATTGTCATGCTGATACAGAAAAATGTGTTAAAAAATTACAATTTTTTAGTATCTGAAGTCACAAGACATCTAACTTACCTGATCTGCTAAAGTCTGTGGTGAAGAGTAGCCAATGCGGCATCCGTGAGAAAGACAAACAAGCTCAGCACTTAATTCTAAAACATGGGCCAGAGGCAGATAGCCAATGTAAACATCTTCCTCTCTAAAAGAAAAGGATATAAAAGCATCTGTCAGGTGTCATCTCTGCTGGAAGAGACTGCAAAGCGAGCCCGCCCACATGGGGAGAAAGGGAGACAGACACAGAGAGAGTGCACACGCATGCCTGTGTGCACGCATGGGGGGGGGGGGGGGAGAGGCAGACAGACTCTAGGGAGTGTGTGTGGCGGGGGGGTAGTAAGAAGGCTACAGCTCAACCTAAAGCCCAGAGGCTGTCTCCAGTGCTACATGAAGGCACTCACAGATTAAGAGTGCTACAGGAACAATGTGCTAAGAAGAAACGGGGGCTGAGGGGCCAAAACAAGAAGGGGTCTTCTGTAGGACAACAGAAATCATCCAAAGAGGAATGGTCTTTAAAGCTCGTGGGCTCCCAAACGGAAAGTTCCAACTGAATCCACAACTGCTGGCCAGGAATTTTACAAAAAAGATTCCTGTTTTGAAAGTTACTTAGAAATAATAAATTATACTGTACGTAAGAAAATGTGTACGTATGTGTGTGTATGTATTTCAAGAACTGCCCCCACCCCAAAAAAATATGAAGGGCAAAGACTAACCCAGGAAACTACTGCTCTTAATTTTTTCTGAAAAGTTATCCATTCATTCATAAGAGAAATCTCTCTCTCCATCCCTAAATTCAGTTCCATAGTAACCTGTGTGTGAGTGTAATTTCTGTGCATAAGGGCATCAAAAATACCCAAGCACTATCACGGCCCCTCATCAGTCATCAAGTACTGACTCCTCTACCACCTTCCTGGTCCCATCTGGCTTCCCCCGCCGGTCAGTCTCTTCCCCGCAGTATGCCCACCCTGGCCCTGTGGCTGCTGGAATTGGTCTTAAAAAGAAAAATCAGAGACTGAATAAAGCTCAATAAATATTGGAACAGATGAAGCTATTTGTTCACCTGAATTTTAACATGTTTAGGTATAAAAAGGACTATAGCAGCAATACTACCAACTGATTAAATTAAGGGATTTAAGTCAGATAAAATTTACACTTTTCAAGTAAAAGGTAAATATTAACAATGATATATATGAAACTGTATTTTAAACCTTACAACTAAAACTATTTAATTTTAAAGTTCCTCTTATTTTTTTGAAAGAACTGCCTACTGTAAACAGACTCTGAAAGACTAATTTAGCCACATACCACTAAATGGCACAAACAACGTTAACGTAACAACCAGCATCAACAAGGGACTACTTCATATGCATTGACCATGTGACATACCCCAGTCCTGGAATCCGTTCCGCCATCCCAGTTATACCAGCAATAATGTTACTGTGGGAGATCATGACTCCCTTCGGAAGTCCTGTGGATCCACTTGTATACATGATTACTGCAATATCTAAGGGCCCTGGTTTGCTAAGAGGTTTGTTTTCTGCATTGGAGAAAAAAAAAACACACACACACACACACCATTTCTGAGAAATGTAGTCATATCACCCATTTTTTTCATCATCATGTTTGATAACTCAATTCAACGACGGTGAATTGTATTCACTCAGAGGTCAACAAAACAGATCACGTCCCCGCACATACAGGACACATGTTCTACTGAGATCAACAAGCCATGAATCTATAATGTAATACGAGCTATGAAGAAAAATAAAGACAAGGTGAGGGCGCCTGGGTGGCTCAGATGGTTAAGCGTCTGCCTTCGGCTTAGGTCATGATCTCAGGGTCCTGGGATCGAGTCCCGCATCGGGCTTCCTGCTCCTTGGGAGCCTGCTTCTCCCTCTGCCTCTCTCTCTCTCTGTCTCTCATGAATAAATAAATAAAATCTTAAAAAAAAGAAAAAAAAGAAAAAGAAAGACAAGGTGAGATGATAGTAGAAGGTATTTAGATGGAAAAGTCAAGAAATGCTTTTCTGGCACGTTGGTATTTTAGTAAAGACCTGGATATACAGTGCAGAAGGGAGCCACTGAAACCCTGGCACTGGGAGAAGATTGTCTCAAGTAAAAAATAAGCGGGAGCAAAGGCCCTGACGCAGCAGCCAGGACCGTATCATGCAAGGCCTTGGAGGCCATGCTAAGGACTTTGGATTGCACCTGGAGCAGAAATTTGAACAAGGGCTTGTTAATCACCAGTGAAGAGGGTCACTTTGGCTGCTACGTGGCTGCCTAACTTAGGGAAGCAAGGCAGTAGGGAGACAAAAGGCTATTCCAGAAATTCCACTGTGAAATAGGGTGGTTGGGCTAGGGTACCTAGACACTTGCTAAAAACTGTTCTCTGCCTCACAGTGGTGAAGTGACCTGGCTACAGTCCGAACCCTGGATTCAAAGACAGTGTCCTCCAGTTGCACAAACCTAAGGGCCACAGCCCACATCCTGGAGGGGACACGGCAGGAAAGCAAAGAGAAGTGGGTCACGGATGGCACCCCCTGAATTAATCCTGGCCCTCCCCTAAGTGTGGACTTCTTAAATGTGGGGGAAACAATTTTAAACATGTTGCTGAGTGAACCCTTCCTTTCCTACATGAGGAGATAAATTCCATGACAACGGTCTTCATTCCAGTCCTTACTTCCTAGCCTTTCGTTCACTCCTCCATCCCAGGGCACCATTCTCCACCACCTCCTAGAAACTGCCCTGAGGTGGGCCTCCTGCAATGCCTGTGGCACCGACTCCTGCAGGGCACCTGCTCTTGCTGCTGACCCCTGCCTCCGGGAGAGGCCCCTTTCACGCGGCCTCCGTGAAGCACACACTGCGTGCCTTCCTCCTGCCTCTGACCCACCCTCAGTTGCTTCTTTAGAAGCACCGCTTTCCATGGGTGACCTCACCTCCTTCCACAGCTATACATAACATCAAACTTCTAGCTTCTAACTCCAAACTTAACTCCAGAGTATATGCCACTCCCCACTAAATATCCACATCTGAATGTCGCACTAGCACTTAAAATTCCGTATGCCCAACATTAATGTCAGCAGAACCCCATTCCCATTCCTGAGCTGAGTGCTTACATCTAGTTAATCACTGAGTTTCCAACTACAAAGGAAATACAGTCCCAGCACCCTAGCAGCTTTCGGGATATTCATCAACACCCGTATACTTTCGAACATTTCCTGACACTTATTTGAGAGCAGGAGTTTTTGGCATCACCATGCCGAAGTGTTCAGGTGGGGGATAAAAAGATGTTCCCTCAGGAAAAAACAGAGTTGGGGCAGGGAGTGAAAGAGGGGATCTAGCTTTAGCCACTCCAGCTATCTGTTTGTACTTATAGATAATCCACACAGGACTAGTTTAATGGCATTATTTAGAAAACTAACTTTGAGCCACTGAGAACTACCACTAAACAGAAACAGGAAGCCTGTATAATGTAAAAGGTATTTGAATAACTACTCCTGTTATTTAGAACAATAAATTAATGTGTGTATTCTCCCTTAAACCCTACTTTAAAAGAGTAGAGGAAAAGTATAGAGTGACCTTACTTCCCAAAGTGATGGTCTAGAACATGATTTGTCCCTGATCTGACTTCAGGGTCTGGAACCACTGCGGAGAACACGGTCACTGCAGAACGACCCTAAGGAACTGGGAAGGTGCGCCGTACCTCTGCTGGCCTTGGCTCCCAGAGCCTGCACTGCAGCCATCGTGTGCACGATGACGCCCTTGGGGAACTCGGACCACGTTGGTGGCTTACCGTCCACAGTGATGATGTGCCGCAGGCGCGGGACTAACGAAACTATATCCTGGAAAAACACAAGCATTCATTACGTTCTTCGTCGCTGTTTCAAAACAGCTTAGCAAACAGTCCCGGACACAAGAAAAGCAGTTTACCATAATCCATGAATTATTAATTTCTTGCCTCCAAAAAAACGGTGAGGGGGTGGGCACTGGTATGAATACTACTCCTTTCAGATGGAGAAATACGGCCTGAAATTTAAATTGCTATTTTATAGCACTAGATTTACTGTGTGTGCCCATTCTTTGGTAAAATCCTAATCAGCAATGTCACTTCCTCACAAAATAGGCATATAAACACAGGCTGCCTGAACTACAGAATAGCCACAAGTCCTATATGTTTTTAAGAGGCTCATAAAGATACGGGGGGAGGGAGAGGGAACTCACTTATAAATTTGGGTATAAAAAAACCCAGCAGACATTACTGGTTTCACTGGGAGTCGTCTAGGGACTTTCAAAACCTTTCTCCAACAGTTTATCATAAAGTCTCTTTTTTCCCTTTAAAAAATTCTAGAAACTCATAATGACTCAATGCTTCAGAAATAATATAAAGGAATTACTATTTCAGAAACCCTTATAATTTATAAATTTACTGAAAATAGACTAGAAAACAAATGAACACAATAAAGAAAAAAGGTAATCCCTTTACCTTAGACACGGGCATACCATGTTAATGATCTGTAACCCTCTGCACTACTCATTACACAAATATGTATGAAATCTACTTTTTCTTTTCTAAAGGAAAGGAAGAACGTATGATATTCCTAAAAGTTTACGAAGATATTCAGGATTTTAAAGATCGTAAAAGTATCAATATTAGAGCTCATGACACTGATAGTTCTGGAAGTTCTGGACAGTTATAAAAATAACCACAGTCCTCACCTTCAACTTTGTTTGCAAGAGTTCTTTACTAGTAATGATGTTGGTCACCTCTGTTTCATTCAATCCATGAACAATAGCTGGACCTCCTAGAGTAGCATACAACGTAACAACTACAGAGAAAAGAAGGGCAAGTCAAAGATTCCACATTTCATGGAAGTACTAAATGTAACTGAAGTCTCTGAAAGTGGTCATGAATCCTAATGGTATAAAGAACCCTAAATCGTCAGATCCATAGTTTATTATGTAACTGTTCTATGATTATCTAAATTATTTTAATATACTAATAAACATTATGCCCACTCACTCACCCGCTCCTAATTTCCCCAAAGATTTCTAATATTTTAAAACGAAATTTTTAAGTTTTATTTCACCTTCAGATATTACTCTGGGATGCCACAATGGAAGGAATTATTTCTGACTCCTAAAATATCAGACCCTTAGTTGTTAAATACTTGGTACTAAAATATGAAAAAGAGTATGTACCAGTAAGATAATGCACTGAGTATCAGGTTGAAGGTGTCATATATGTTAAGGAAACAACATGAATAGGTGGCAGTACTGCTTTTTCTAGTAGAAGACTCAAGAAAAACATTCTTAGCCATGTTGAAATTTAACAATCATCATCTTGTGGACTTTTATTTGCTTGCTGCCTAACTCACAGAAGTCAGACTTAAAGTGACTTTAAGAGATAATTATCTCGAAGCTTCCCAAAAGAAGCAAACTATAAGCCCACACCCATGAAAACAAAAAGATACGACAGTTCTAAAAACCAGTGGAGCATTTACAGCAAGATATCTGGTAAAAGTATCTCTTCTGCTCCATCTGAAAGGTAAGAGAATGTCCATACTTAACATCCCATTTTGGCACCAAGATCTATGAACTAAGCTTCCAGAACTACCTCACAGTCTGGGGCATCCAGATTGCCACTTAAATAACAGTATAAATATTCCCTGTCCTTTCACCTGGCTCGTGGCTCCGAGTAGTGCAGTTTTAGATGTCAACTGCTGCTACCAACAGAAGTGGGGACGAAGTGACACTAACTTCACAAGAAGATTCCTGAGAGAACCAGCAGCAGAGTCCGCGAGGCCCCAAGGCCCCTATTAACAGGTTCCAGTCCCCTTACTACACTGACTACACAATTTGTTCCAAAGCAGACCTCTAACTCGAAGTTGTAACAGAGCGGTCCCCTGATTAGATTCAAGGTAGCAATTAACTTCAGAATTTTAAAGAGTGAAATATTTATAATAAACAGCATCCTATCTCCCACACAGAAGATCAGAAGGCCCACATACGCTGAAAATTATACATAAAGCACGCCTGCGCAGCAATCATCCATTCGGCTCTGGTTTCACAGAAGATGGCGATATTGGTCTTTGGTTTCTGACCCAACATCTGTAAACCATTTCCAAAATTAAAAGCTCTAACGAAGACATCTTCATAGGAGAGCCAATTATAGTTTCCAAGAATAACCTGATAAAATAAAAAACATACAAATACCTTTTAATATAACCAAAATATTATTTTCCAGAAAGAAGCCAAGATTCCAAATTTTATGACAAACCAGTTATGTTTGCACATATGTAAGTATTTTTTCCTAACAAAAAGCCAGAAAGTGAATTTCAAGTGAAAAAAATCTATTTTGAAAATTAGCTATTTTGCGGTAACTTCTATGACAAATCTTATGCTACATCTTCAATTGTAATGGGGAGTTTTTTAAAAATCTTCAGGGTTTGACAGGATCTTAAAGGTCAGCTTTTTTGTCAAAAGCTCATATACTGGTAATTCATTTATACATCATTTACTTAAACAATTTAGATGTTAGCTTAAAATTTAGCCTAGTATCAAGTACTAATGATACCAAAAATTAACTTTCCCTCTACTTATGAATTCCCAGATTTCACTATCAAATGGTAATATGATTTACAAACAGAAACTGGCTAGATCCAAGGTAAAAGACATACTTATGGCTGTTTAATTTGAATTGCCCCCTCCCATACTGAACTCTAAACAAGTCTATTTACGCAACCAGGACTAGTTTTATTATTCATCAAAGCCTTTCCGTTGAAGCCTTAAATAACCACTGGCACCACTGGGCTTTCAACATTTCATTTGTGCTTACCATAAGTACAGGTTACATTAAGTCTTCATTGGTAATAATCATGTTTTTAAACTGGCTAACTTATTTTTCTTTAGGAACTTTCTCCAACTTAGATTAGACCATAAATCCCCAATTACATACAGACTGGATAAAAAGCTCCTCGTACTCCAAATACATACATATTTTCCAACCGTGGCTGTTTCACTCACGTCTCATACACCTTAAAACTAACCACATTCATTTCCAAAAATGCATCCAACATTTCCGGGAGCTCTTGAAATAAGAGACTGGGTGAAGATAGAAATGGGGAGGGGGGGGGAAAAAAGGATAAATACTGCCCTCTAGTGTCCTATTCCATAATGGACTTAGGGAATAAAGTCTTACTTTGATGGTTAAGGCAACTGGATTTAAAATATTTATTTAACTTCACTGGTCCCAAACTCTCACCTTGCTCTGCACCCCCATGAAATGCTCAGCACGGGGAGCTCCAATGACTTCAAAAGGAGCTCTGTGGGGGTGAGAAGACAGATGAGAACTTGGCCAAAACGTGCACGAACTGGATTACAATTAAGAATTTTACACTCCAAAGATTAGCATGAGCTACCTCTTAGATTCTAGAATCTAAATGATGAGTTTTGTTAAGTTTCAGAGAATGTATATATTCCGAAAGGTATTATTATCTACATAATCCAGATCTTTAAACCCATGTGATACGGCCACCATGTGGCAAAAGAAATCAAATCATGAGCTTAATTCAAGTGTAACTAAACTGAATTTCACTTAATTCTTTAAACCACTGAATCTCCTAGTAGTGATCTTTCCCATAAAGATTACATTTCAAGGCCCCTATCTACCCCATAATTTTGACTTTTGCTGGAAAAAATTCCCAATTCTAACTCTGTCCCCATGGTTAGCTTAAACCTGAAATTAAACTCGTTTACTTATTCCCTGTCCATACTGCTGAAGAATACCCAAACTCATTCTCTATCCAGGATCACAGATCTCAACACCCAGCAATCCTATAAGGACTCCCTGGGTCTATTCATTTTCTCACCCTCTGAAATGGCTACTTCTCTCTACTCAAATATCCTCCAACCCTCCCTCCCTCCATCCCTTATCCCTGTCCAGGTGATAAGGTGATAATACTGTATCATACATTACTGAGAAATTAGAAATTCAACGGAAATGCCCTTATCTTCTTAGCACCAAGTTTAATAACCTACATACATCTGTACTCATATTCTTCGCAGTTCCCCTCATGGTATTACAATGGTTGAAGTGTCCCTAACAATAGCCAAACTTACAAGGACTTTACTTCGAAGCACTTCCCAAATTTCTATCTCCAGCCACCTCTACTTGCACATCCAAGTTCAAATACCTTACGCTGGCCTACAAAGCCCTAAGGGACCTAGCCATGCCAGTGTCTCTGTGCTCCTATCCAACCTGCTTCTCCAGACTCACCTCCCCTAACTCATTACTTCCTGTAAATACAACTTTGTCCTTTCTGTCCTTCAAACAGGTTGCGCCAGGGCAGGAACTAGGATGAAGCAAGACAGGTGCCAAGGGCACAAGATTTAGAGAGTTACTCACTCTCAGCATTTGAATACCTTCTTCAACTTTATACCCCAAGTGCCTCACCCAACTGGGCTCATTCCAGTTTTAGAGCCAGTGGGCACACACCCTATCCCACTGCACAGAAGGTTCATTACCCAGATCTTTGCAAAGTTGGCTCCTCTCTTGTTCAGGCCTCCACTTAGCCATAATCTACCAAGAGAGGCTATCCCTGATCTCCAATCAGCTTTATGTCTTCGTAGTAGTTATTAATCTGTTTACTTATTATTGTCTCTCTTCCTCCCATACAAATATAAGACCCATGAGACGAGTAACCTGTGTGTCCTGTTCATGACTGTCTCCCTAGCACCTGGCATACAGTCGGCACTCAGCAATTATTTGCTATACATGTGGAATGAACAGTGTAATTAACACAATTTCCATTCACTTTGGACCTTGAGTCTTCTGACCCCTTTCTGCTCCAGGAGCCTCATTTTTTTTTAAGACTGTTTGAAAAAAAAAAAAAAAAAAATCCACATCCGCCTAATCATTTAACCTCTAGAGCTACTTTTCTTCTGTCTCCATTCCAGTGCACACATCCTTTGCCTACCACCTCTTAAATATTCTCACCCATGACCCATGAGACACAAGTATGTTCAATTTTCCCGACTCTGAGTCACGCAAGGGAATGACTAGTGTGGCTACGGAAATGACGACTGTGAAGCCTTTGAGCAGCTTCCTCATTTGCAGAGGTAGCGGGAGAGTTAAGACTGGCCCTATGGTTGCTTTCATGTCTCACATTTAATTGGCTGTATTGTTGTTATTCTGGAACAGGTGTGACAAACACATGGGTAAACATCAACGTTATCACTCAGACCACCACTGCTCAGAACAGAGGAACTTAATCATTTACTTTGTTCAGGAACAGATGAAATTAGATGCTTTGATGATGCTAAGGATGAGGGCCTCTTATCTCAGAAGATAAGCTATAAAAATAAAACGGAGATAACATACAGAACATTCTGTAAAATAAAAGCACACAAATACTCCACCATTCAGGACCCTGAAGAAAGAGACAATCGAGTAAAAATCAAGTTTTCAGGTAGCTGAAGTTAACCAGTGCAAGTCCAGGACTTTTCTTTTCCTTTAGCCACTCAGAAGAGAAATATTTCCAATTACACACTTCCCTGCCTTCTTCAACAAAGTACACCCGGCTTCACAGAACCTTTCTCTCTGCGAATGAAGATTATTAGAATGTACTGTGAGGGAGCCAGGGAGTGAAAATCTTCAACAGGTCTGGATGGCTGGTGGTGATCTTGAGGAGGAGGGCGGCTAAGCTTTGCCAAGTTCACTCTGTGCTAAGCACGCTGCAGCAGTAGCTTATGAGACTCTCTCGTAACTCTAGACAGAGTTACTCTTAGTATCCCTACTGTACAAATGAGAATACTGAGGCATCGAGAGAGTCAGCAGAACGTGCTCAAAAATCACACTGCGTAAGTAAGAGACAGGACTAGAATATGAATCCGGGCAGACTCATTCTGGAATCGAAGCACTAAATCACAAGGCTCCAACCGCACCACAGAAAGGAGACGGGGTGTTACTGGGCAGGTGAGGAAGGTGGCCCGAAGGTCTGGGTATCTTTGATTCAACCATTATCAGATACCTTCTGGGGTTAATCCCTAAGCTTAGCCCCCAAAACAGGAAGGAAGGAAACTTGTAGATGCTGCTATACCATTAGCTGGCTTTTTCAGTTCAAGGTTATTTTCAAATATGGAAACCACTAGTGACGATACATTCATGGGAAACACGTGTGCACACCAGTTGGTAAGCGCCCAGCGGAAGCCACACCAGTCCAGGCAACTCCACTCTTACCTAAGCACGAGTTGTGCAATGTCCCCTTTTTACTCTCGAATCAGGGCAGATGCTGCTTCTGCCGCAATACAGTGGGTGTAAACAAGAAACCAAGGGGGGGGCGAAGCCTACTTGTTTATAACACCCAGCTGAGGTACCCACCGTCCAGTGTGCAAACCACCGCTACCACTGCAACACAGACCAACAGAAACTCAAGTCACGCTCTTCTTGGGTAAGGCTGACGGAAAACACGTGCTTCATGTACTATACAGGAAACCTAAAAATTTCACTTTCCCAATAAGCCTAATTTCAAATAGGAAGAATCTAATATTTTCTGTATCAGAATATAACCGATTCTATAAAGACTTCCCCCAAAAGTCTGACGAATCACAAATGCCAATTTGAAGGCAAATGTCAACAGTAGAAAGACTGAGTGAGATCCTGTAGACAGAAAAGGCTAAGGAGTTTTTTCACCTTCTAACTTTCCTATTTGAGTTCACATATTTCCTTGTTGAATAAACAATGACTACAACAAAGCCACCATGGGCAGGACAGGAAGGAAAAGGCCATATATGCAAACACACAACAGGGAAAACCCCTTTCCTTGTGTACACTGTGTTATCTGGCCACATTTAAGGAACAACTGTGAAAGCTCTAGGATTTTGTCCTAATTACACTGATAAACTGAATTAAGAAGGAATTTCATATTGACCATACTGATCTCCTTTTTACATACTTGGAAGCTACTCTGTTGCTCTAAGTACTGAATGAGGACTGAGAAATAGTGCCAGTCCCATAAAAAGCCTGTTAACATGCAATTCTGGAGAAAAACCTCCTGCTAACAGAGGACTTCTGTTATATATGCTGAGATTAAAAACAAGGGAACCCAATCTTTGAATTCAAATAGCATTAGACCAAGAAACAAAAATGAATGTTTTTAAGAGGCGGCATACGAGTGGAAAACTTTAGCCCTCAAAAACTGTAGTGTTTTGGTATCTTTTATAACTACCAGATCTCTCAAAGACGAAATCAAGGATGGTATACCCTAAAAAGTAGCAACTAACTATAACAAAAACTCAGACACCATTATTTTTTTTTTTTAGACACCATTATGATATAATGTTTTGCAAGTTATAATCTATAGGTTAGGGAAGAGTAAACAAACATGCTTAACTACATGACTTCAATTTCAATAAATGTGCTATTAACTCTCCAGATAGACCTAAAGTTAACAGAAAAAATTCACTTAAGTGAGGCAAAACTAAGTCAACAAAAGAAATAGAGAATATGCCTTAAAAGTCAAAGGACTGTATGATTTCCCCAAGCCACTTCTGAGACTGTAAGGAGGCACTGTTAATGTGACAGGCAAAGCGAGATAAACAAGGACAGTTTCAGGCAGAACAAGATACAACATCACTCTATATAAAGTGGATGGACACTTACAGATTTTTGTCATCTACAATTAGAACAATGTGTTTTTAATTTCTAGGAGTTACTGGCGTTAACTTGCTTGCCATCTCCTTTACGTTTGAAAGAAAATGACTCTGGAATTTGTGTGTATGAGTGCCAAAATTAATGGGCCATTAAGTTAAATAACACCTTCTCCTGCAGTCACAGGAGAAGCTCTGAGTATTTCATTCCATGGTGTGATTATTTGAACATTCCTCTGAGACCTGAGAGTTCCTTCATGACTAAAAGGAAAAAGGTGGCTGTAGTCAGGATGCAGCTGGAAAAAGGAAAGAGAAAAACAACTTTGCCTACACACGTAATAAACTATAACCTGACCAAATTATCAAAGATGATTACTGATCATCTTACTGCCTCTAAAAAATTTTATCTTCAATTTTTACCTACTGGAGCTTAGAAAACGGCTTCTAAGAGAGTCATGAATCCAAGTTCAAAAACAGCATTTTCGTGCCATTTCTATACTCACTATCCTTCAAAGCGTTGCACTACCCCCATGTCTTTGTAGTCACTCATATAATTTTGCCCACCCAATTCCCAAGACAACGATACTATAAAAACTAGAGCATTTACACTAGACACCACAGCTGTTCTATGGGGGGGGGGGGGGGGGGGGGAATGTGTGTGTTTGTGTACGGAGCAAGACAACCTAGGGTCTAGTCCTGGCTTTACTTCTTCTAGCTGGAACGTCCTTGCCTAAGTTAACCTATCTGGTGCCTCTGGGCCGTTATCTGCAAAATAACAACGATAACACGAATTCATAGCGCTTTTTAAGTCTTAAGTAAGTTGGTACATGTAAAGAACTTAAACAGCCTGGCTCATAAGAAATGCTAATGTAAATATCAGCAGTAATCATTATCTTCGTATTACAGATAAAGAAACTGAGGCAAATTTGTTAAATTACTTTTCCAAAGTCACACAGCTAGCTAGTAGGTAGCAAAGCTGAGATCTAAACCTGTAGTCTGGATCTGGAATCCAGGTTCTTAACCACTATTTTATACCACCTCTAAGGATGTCTTATCCCCTATTTCAAATCAACAATGGCAGCTGATATATAATGGTGAAAAGAAATTCTTAAAAACTATGCAACTGCCACTACCAAAATACCAAGACATTAAGCACCCAACCTATGATAAAATCAGAAACAGCAGGCCTCCCATCTCAAAACCCAGAACCATCTCAAGCACACATAGGTGCTTGTGGGACCACCAGGGAATACAGTTTCAGACCCAAAACTGCGCTAGACATTTTATTCCAAGCCATGGCAGACACTCGGGCTCAGGGGGCATTCTGGCCGGTCTGTGACAATTCAGAACAAATCCTTACAGGAGAGTACAGGAGATCAGAGCATGGTCCCTTGCCCATCCTGCTTCTCCTGCCACACCAGCCACATCCAGAGGCAGCAGGCTGTCCTTGTCCCCTGCTGCCATTTCTGAGAGAACATTTTACTCAGAACAAAGACAACAGCAATTAAAGATCACCTTACCTTTTTAAAAATTTTTCCATTTGGCTGTACTTCATCTTCCTCATTTAAAATTTCACGTGTTCCCAACAGTCTTTTGTCCTTAAATTTGTTTTTTGCATACATAAAAACTTTATCTAGTGTATCACATGCAGGGTATAATACTGAAGCCAAACCATCCAAACTGTTAATAGATCTGTATGCAGACTCGGGTTTTGAATCTACAGGCTTTGCTTTAATTTTGTTTGCTTTTTCTTGTCTTGTCTCAAACAAAAAATAATATGGAATGTACGTTAAAACAGTATAAAGTGATATTAGAAAATGTATGAAATACAAAAGAATGGGATTGATGGTCTGTTTTAGCTTCATGGTAGATGTTTTTGAAGACATGTGGTTATTCATAAGTGCTCAAAGAGTGGAATTAACGGATTTCCAGAATCTAGAAGGGGAAAAAAAGAAGATATTAGTTCAAAGTCATTTTAAAATAACTGTAAAGAAAAAATCTTATTAGATAGGCAAATGAGGATTTTTTTTTTTTCCCAATCAAGCAGCACCTGGTACTGGCCTCCAGCGATGTCCAGTCCACTCCGATATGGTCGAGTGCATCTCTTATAACTATTAGCAATGGAAATCACCACAGAGAAGTTTCTACACCATTCTGTGAACAGGTGGCTTTTCCAACCTAACCCCAAGTGCCCACAAACACTTCCCGGTGGTGAGGAGAGAGCAAGCCAGAAGACCGACATCAGAATCAAGGCCAAAAATATACCAATTTCCTGTTCATCCCTCAGGGATGGCAAGTGCTTTGCAAATACACCATTCTCCTCCCTCATGGCCGGCAGCCTGTTCCAATAATCACTGCATTCTTTCCCAGTGGACTCCATTCTCTCACTCTAGGGAGTAACAAGGACCTGGTTGTTGGTAAACAACATAGAATTCCCTTCCTATAGTGGTATTTTTCAGTTTGGCAGGTTAGGTTGTGAAGCAAGAAGGCAGTAAATTCTGGCCATTTCTACTTTGCATTCATTAGATTTATTGACCATCTCCTATGTGTTAGATCCTGTTCTAAGTACAGGAACTACAACAGTGAACAACAGTCTCTGTTCCTTCTCTCAGGGAGCCTACACCTTCACTGGGAGAAGGTGATGAACAAATATACATATGCATGCCAGGTGATGGCAAATCCTCTGAGGAAAAATGAACCCAGGAAAGGGAAACACAAAGTGAAAGGGCGAGGCCGGAGAGACACTCTAGTACAAGAATGGTCCACAGGAGTCTCTGGCCAGGCATATCTGAGCAGAGACTTACAAGGAAGAGGCAGAGTGGGCCATGTGCCTATCTGGGGGAAACTGAGCACTCCAGGCAGAGGAAACAGCCTTTGTGTGGTGGTAGTACGTAAATAATATTGGCGGGGGGGAGCTGAAGCAAACTACTAATTATTCCAATCAGCTCCAAATCCAGGGTTTTGATTTCTAGCATTCTCATCTCCTACCCCCACCCTCCATATTGGAGAAATTCTATTCCAGGCACATGCAGCCAAGAAATGTGAGGAAACTCTACTGTAGGCACAGCAGGCCAAGAGTACTTGGCCAGTCTGTCCTTGCCTCGGCTTGCTCATAACGTAACTGCAGAGGGAGGGAAGCTCCAGAGAAGAGCAGAGGCGACAGCCGCAGGCCGGGACCCCACTCACAGAACAGAGGACAAGCTGCCGTCCCTGCCCCCGGCTCGGCAGCAATGGCTCGCAGGTTCTGTATGGTCCAAGGCAGGCTGCAAGAACAGACACCCCTCAGCAATCCCTCAGTGGACTGACTTTAGTTGGAACAGAGAACAGGGAAGCTCGAGCCGCGTGGCACTATGGAAAACAATGGAGACTTTGGCGATGAGCAATTAAGATGAGGCTGGCAGTTCCATGATAGCAACAAGGAAAAGAGTAGACCGAACAGAAGTTTAACAGAATCAGGGAAAAGAGAAAAAAATAAGAGCCCTTCCAGAGTCAGGGCAGCTCAAAGACTGGCCTCAAAAAACTCCTACAAAGGCCATCTAATTTAACTGAATCACACTGTGGGGCAATTTATGGCCCAGGGCTCTAATACAATAACGCAATCAGCTAGCTATCAGTGGAGAATAATTGCTGGGTGTGAACCAACAGAGGCTGACTTAGCAGTTTAACAAGGAGATCAGAGAAAGAAATGGTCAAACAGTCCTACTAAAACCATGCTGTCATCCCCTAAAGAGGGCACTTCAAGGGAACTCTGTTCCCAAGGCTGTGCCCACTGAGGAGCAACATCAAAGGATGCACACTGGGGCGCTGGGTGGCTCGGTTGGTTAGGCGACTGCCTTCGGCTCAGGTCATGATCCTGGAGCCCTGGGATCGAGTCCCGCATCGGGCTCCCTGCTCGGCAGGGAGCCTGCTTCTCCCTCTGACCTTCCCCCCTCTCATGTGGTCTCTCTCTCTCATTCTCTCTGTCTCAAATAAATAAATAAAATCTTAAAAAAAAAAAAAAAAAAAGGATGCACACTGGTTGGGGGGGGTGTGTAATGTGTGTGTAAAATGCACTGAAATAGGCCAACCAAGTCACTAAACAAATAGACAAGCAAGTAACACAAGAAGCCAGGGAAATGGGGAGGGGGTAATCAGCACTAAGAAATGCTATAAAAGATCTTAAATGTGCAGTTTAAACAAAAAATTATGAGACATGCAGATAAACGAAAGACCCAAACACAGGAGGAGAAAGCAGGAAAAAGAAATCGTCCTTGAGAGGGCCCAAATGTCAGACTCAGACAAGACAGCAAAGCAGCTATTATAAACATGTTCAAAGAACAAGAAAATATGCTTAAAAAATTAAAAGTCCAGGGACACCTGGGTGGCTCAGTCAGTGAAGCATCTGCTCAGTCATGATCCCAGGGTCCTGGGATCAAGCCCCGTATCAGGCTCCTTGCTCAGCAGCGAGCGAGCCTGCTTCTCCCTCTCCCTCTGTTCCCCCTGCTTGTGCGTTCTTTCTCTCCCTGACAAATAAGTATTTTTTAAAAATTAAAAAAGATGAACATTAAAAAACAACAACAACAACACTAAAAGTCCAGGGGCTCCTGGCTGGCTCTGTCAGTAGAGCATATGACTCTTGTTCTCAGAGTTGTGGGTTCAAGCCCCACGATGGGTGTAGAGATTACTTAAAAATAAAATCTTTAAAAAAAATTGTTTTAAGTCCACTGTTGCAATTTAACAAGATAAGATTACCTCCAAATTTGCCCATCCACAGCTGGTGAGAAGTCAGGACTCCCAACTAATCCCCGGGTTCTGTTCACCATTCCATGCTGTTTTCTTTGACAATGTATTATGCAGTAATTTGGAAAAACAGTCCAGGGAATCTAGATTTGTGCCATTAAGGGGATGGGGAGCCATTGAAGGTTTCTATATAGGAAAATGACACCATGAAAACAAATGATCCTACTACTTCCAAGACATCAGAGCTGCAGGGAAATAGATGTATTTTAATAACTCAGGAGAATGATGTAATCTCATGTAGTAATCTCCCTGAAATTTAATTTCATGTATCTGTGTTTTGAATTTAAAAATAATGTAATAAAAAGACTTTTATCTGCAGGTAATGATTGTATAAGATGATGACTGTATAGAAAATCCCAAAGAATCCACTAAAAAAAAAAGAACAGTTCAGCAGAAGTTGCAGGATGGAAGACAAATATATAAAAAAATCAACTGTATTTCTATACACTAGCAATAAAACAATTATATTTACAACACTATCAGAAATAATACTTAGGCAACCCTCTCAGGTCCCTCCTCCAAAGGAGCTTTGTACTATCACTTTGCTATTACTCAGTAAGTGTTGCTTTGCTGCCCACCACTCTGGTCTACCGTTAAAAAAAAAAAAAAAAAAAAAAGAATACATAGGATGAGATAACAAGAAGTGTAAAATTTGTACTATGAAAACCATAAAACATTATTTAAAGGTATTAAAGATCTAAATAAGTAGAAAAACATCCCATTTATGGATTGTAAGACTTAATACCATTAAAAATGACAAAGTTCTCCAAACTGATATACAGATTCAGCACAATCCTTACCAAAATCTCTACTGGTTTTTATACAGAATTTTGTAAGCTGATCCTGAAATTTACATGGAAATTCAAAGTAGCCAAGAACAGCCAAAACAATCTTGAAAAAGAACCAAGTTGGAGGGCTCATACATCTCAATTCCAAAACTTAATACAAAGTAATAGTAATCAAGGCAGGGTAGTACTAGCAAAAGGTTGGGGGAGGTGGGGGCCGGGAGAAGGGAAATTCTGAATAGTTGACACCACATCATTTGAACAAGCACCCAAAGCAGCAGGTGTTCATCAGGGAACCATCAACCACTAGTAGAGCAGGGTGGGGGTGAGGAGATGAGAGTAGGGCATTGAAGTCAAATTGCTGGTGAAGAAACTTCATTTGCATTTCAATGCACACCGCATCCCAGTGTTTTAGAAAATAGCATTACGCTAAAAACAGCAGGAACTGGAGGGGAGGCAATCAGATAAGAGAAAGTGGAGAGACTCCTTCACTCCTAGGAGTAAGGTGGCTAAGGTGTGGGGCCCAAGCCAGCAGCTAGGATTTCCAGCTCCCGACTGCCCAGAGGGTGGCAGCAGCAGCTACTCCTCCAGTCCTCCCCAGCAGCCGAAATCTGTCTTAATACAGCGCAGTGGCTTCGGCATCCGAGTCCTGGAGAATAAAGGCACGCATCAGAGCAGCTGCAGTGAAAGAAGGTCAAACAGTCTGGGTGCCTTCAACCGAGACAGAAATGTAAGCAGTAGCTGGTCAGCAGTAGCAGTGGGACGGCTGGGGAAAGGAGATGAATACAAGTCTTGAAAATGAGTATGAGATGCCTGTGAGTCATCCATATATATAAGCTGCGAAGGGTAAGAGGGATCAGAGCTAGAAGCACACATTTTAGAGCCATAATCAGAGGAAGGATGAAAAGGTAGGAAATCTCCAAAATCAAGTTCAAGGACAGAAAACTATGGAGGGAAACCAAAGCCCAGACTGAGCAGGAAAATCCCACTGGCAAGACCAATAATAGCAGAACCCCGAGAAGGCAGTGCTGCGAGGCCAAGGGCTGGGAGAGCCAAGGAGAAGTGTTCAGTAGCATCAAATGCAGCCTACATGTACCAGCCACATGCAATTACGACATTTCATTGTTCTAAAAGCCTTCTAAAAAGCTCTACGCGCTTCTAAAACTGGGTAAAGTACAAACCTCTGGCCAACTGCATTTGCTGAAGGGGCTGTGGAAAATCTAGAGAACCAGTAAAGTCACGGTGCTCTATTATGTTGCCTCATCTTACAGTGAGCATCACCTTTCAGAAAGCAAACCTGAACAACTGAATCTGTTCATCATTTCCTTCATGACTTCTAGGTTTCCAGTCCATGTTGAGAAGGCCTCATCC